GTATTTCTAACAGTTTTTGCGTAATATATATCAATGAAATGTTACTCCACACTCATTTAAAATAATTCTTTTTTTGTTACTAGGTGATATTCTTTGTCAGTTTTAAACACATTGGCCTTGAATTCTACTTTTTCTGATGTTAGCATTTCTGGTCCTGGCTCATGTTTTTGTTATCATTTCATTTGCTGATATGCCTTTGCCACTACAGAAGTTGTAAGCTTTTAAAAAAGTAGTGTTTAATCTGTATCTTTTATTTATCAGAGTCAAGTATGAAAAAGCATCTTTTACATTCTATTTAAGAATTTTATTCTATTTAAGTATTTTATTCCCTACATCATTCTATTTATTTTTGTTTGTATGGTTCTGAAGTGTCAAATATAATTTTTATGGTTTTATAGACATAGTCTGGTATTTTGTTGTACATATTTAAAAATTATTTTGATATTTTCATTCCATTTTAGAACAAAGTTTGAAACTTATGTGTTTATTGGTTTTGGTGTTCATTACCGATATGTTTATACCATGCTTTTTCCCTAAGCTCATTTTATTTATTTCATAGTTGGTTGGAAAACATTGTCAAGTACTTATTTCAAAAAAGATACATGGATTAGAATCTTTTGTGAGCCCTTGCACACTTGAGAATATCTTTTGTTCATTGCAGCCTGTGTATATATAAGACAGTCTAGCTAGGTATAAAATTCTTGAGTTGTAAGTTTTCCCTGAAGTTCATGTAGGCATTGTGCCATGAGGATCTGACTAACTGTTGTTTTCTAATCTCTTGTGTGTGTGTGTGTGTGTGTGTGTGTGTGTGTGTGTGTGTGTGTGCATGCGTGTGTATGTATACATATATTGCTTTCCCTGGTATTTCATATATTTAGCAAAGGTAGTTGTTGGTTTTTCCTAATTTTCTAAAAAAAAATGTAAATTTCCCTTTCCTTCTGCTTATTAGTTCTGTCTTTGGTTGAAGAATCCTGTCTTTGCTTCTTATTACATCTCCATCTGGCCCCTGCTTCAGTTCTCTTCCAATCCTATGTCAACTCTCCACTCATATCTTTTCCTAGTTTCCATGTTTTTATCCTTTTCCACCAAGTTTTGTGAGTTTCTCTGATGTGTCCTTTATGTTTCTGCATCCTTGAATTAGTTTTTACAGTATCATTTTCTCTTTGCTGCTTCCAAAGTGGATTTAAATTATGCTACTAGGATCTAGATGTTTGCTTTAGTTTTTATTTTTCCACCTCAGTTTTCTTATGCATCATATGGCCTTTTCAACTTAGTTTCATTTCTTCTCCTATTTCATAGAGGCTGTATCTTTTTAGTTTTTCAATCTGCTCTGCCCATTTGGTTACATATTGTTGACAGTTTGTTTTTAACCTACAGTGACAGAATTGAATAGTTGTGACAGAAAGTGTATGATCCTCAGAGCTTCCAACATTTACTGTTTGGCCCTTTGCAGAGAAAGCTTTGCAGATGCTTGTGCTGAAATGAGGACGAGGTTCCCATCTTAGAGCTAAGGCGCAGCGTGCACAGCTCCGACTCCCAGTTGCCACCAGCCTCTTATTTTGCCTTTCTCTTATTTCCACTGCCTGACTTTAATTTAGATAAAATTATAAGTTCAGATAGGCAATTCAAGTGCTGTCTTTCTGGTCCCTACCCTTCCTTAACTTCCCTTCCGTGACAGAGGGGTCACTCCTAGTGCCCCCACTCACTTCCTGCCCATTTGTTTTCTAGTCACTGTCTTTCTGTCCTCCTCCTTTATTTCAGGATCTTTCTGTTCATCAGACAAAGAGCTGTGTCCTGAGGTAAAATCCAGATAGGTTTTGCCTCTTCTACCACCATCTGCCTTTAATTAATAGAGATTGCTCCCAGATTCCAGCATTGGGTCATCTATCAGTTTCATTCTTGGCATTCATGTGAATTTTCATTTTTCATTGTCTTTATAGCTATTTTGGAACAAAACAAGGAGAGGCCCCACGAGTGGCTGCCAAGTAGATGCCATATTGAGGAAGGAATCATGGTTGTATTTTAAAGCTGTGATTTGTCCATCTTGAAGCAGTCTCTGTAGCTTTGTGTGTACTTGATAAAAGCAGCAATACAGGGACATTCTTATTTAGGGACCACTTGTCCAGTGACCTCAGCTATCTGGAATACAACCCAAACAAAGAGCCCACAAGCAGCCAAAGAGCTTTCACAGTATCTGTGTTGTAAAGATTATTCATGTTCCCCACAGGAGAACTTTGCTTCACTCCTTCCCAGCCTGTTTACCTGTACTTTACACACAGTTTTAACAGGCTTGGTCTTTCTGTTTTCCTAGCTTATGATTAAGTTAGAGTCAGTTACACTGAAAGTAGAAGGGGACATTTGGCAACAAGTGTATTGACCTGGTAAGAATTGCCAGCTGCCAGAAAGGAAAGATAGATCCCCCACCCCCTTGCACATACACACCAAGGCAGATACAACTACCAATGCTCTGATATGGACATTGAGTTAACAACCACCTTTCTTTGCCTTTCCTCTGCCAAGCCAGGTGCTGGTTTTAACCCTAGGTGCATATTGGAATCACCTAGGGAGTGTTAAAATCCAAACACTCAGGCCACTCCTAGACCAAGGAAATCAGAACCCCTTGAGGGCAGAATCCAGTGCCAGGATTGGGAACTGGGTTGGGATCTCGGGCTCTGTAGCCAGCCTGCTGCATTACACATACACCCCCTTGGCGAGTGGGCCCCCAGTTTGTTTGGGCTGAAAATTCTCATCTGTGAAAGGAGGCCCCTGGAAGGGGTGAGGGGGACTCAGAGCATCAGAGTGGTACTCAGGCCTCGCCACTGCCCTGTGTCCCACCATCAGTGAGTACAGACTTGGAGATGCAGAGTGATGGAGGTAAATTGCCGAGTGGGGCCTGGGAGTGCGACCTTGCTAGGCAATGATGGGTGCCGTGCATGTCTAGGGTGATTTCTGTCCGAGGTGGGCCCTTGGCTCGGAAGAGAAGAGCTATGGCTATTCCTGCGCCTGGGCCAGTGGTGCCAGAATAGGTCGTGCCCAGACTTGTCTACCTCCCTTCTGCCCACGGGCCCCGGCTTCTCTTGAGCAGGCTGCCCTTGCACCTTTCTGAGCACTGGCTTCCCATTTGAAAGCTGAGCAGTACACCCCTCCTGCAGAGTCCCCATGGCCTCAGGGGAGCTGACAAGTTCAGAGGCGCCCGCTGGCCTGTATTGTCATTGAGTGCCTCTCTCGGGGATGATGTGAGGGGGTGTCCAGTGGTTTCTGACTAGAAATGAAAGTACTGACTTGGGTCAAAACTTCCCCCAAAATAACACAAAGGCACCCAGCAGATTTGAGGTTGTCCCCACAGTGGTGACACTCAGCAGCATCAGGTTCAGCTGCACAGTGGCTTTGCTATGAGCATCATCTGTCTGTCCCTGAGTTGCCACAAACTTGGCTCAGCACAGCTGTTCCCAGCCAGCAAGTACAACTGTGTTGGTTGTGGTAATGTTTGTGTGTTTGGGCTGTCATCCCTCCCATCTTGATCTCTTGGGCTTGGCCACAGTGGAATGAAGGCCGTGCTCTTTGGACAGCCTAGTTTCTGAGAGAGCCTCAAGAGCCTCCTGCTCCAGTAACTGACCCTCTGTCCATCTGGCAGGAGAGACTGATGTTATGGCCTCCAGTGTCCCTGGACCAGGGCATTCTTGGGGAGCTCCAAGGGCTCAACCACAGGGGAACAGGAAGGAGGGCTGTTTCTCTCCCATTTCCTGACACTGATTCCTAACTTTGGGCTGCAGCAGGCTAGCCTGGGGGCAGTTGGGGTTACCAGGCCCAGGCTCCTAGGCAGTGGAGTGGAGCTATGCTAAATAATTAAGGCCCACGTCAGTGTACCCTAGGACTTTGAAGAAGGCAGCTACCTTGTGTGGAACCAGAGATTGCCTCCAGGGAGCTCACTTCTGAATCTCCCCTTTCAACCTTCACTATAGGCTGGGGCAGGTGGCATGGAGAGGCTTAGCTTCCTGCCCTGGCTTTTTCTCCTCCTGCTTCCTGACCTTGCCAGGTGGCCTACTTCCTTTGAGGCTTGATTTTCTTGTCTGCAGAATAGGAAGAACTCTCACACATCCAAGAATGGCTGTAGGAATTGAGTGATTTCTGGCATGTCGAGTGGAGGAGGGGGGATTTAGTGGGACTTGTGATGGGCTGGATCATCATGTCACGTGGGGTCTAGTGATGGAATTGCATCTGTTTGGCCAAAGAGCAAAAAGCCTGGCAGAATTCCTGTCAGGAAGAGGGCAAGCAAGGTTGGAGTGGGGTCTGCCTTTAGGAGGCCAGTGAGACCACTGCTGGGGGCTGCAGTCTGACAGCCGGCAGGCCCAGTCCTATGCACATTTTACCCAGCTCTTGCTCGGGGTCTGGAAGCCCTGAAGTGATACCCAGTAGAGGCAGGCCTGCCTCCATGGCCCTGCCTCTCAGCAGTAGGGCCCATTAGAACGGAACTCTTCTTCGTGGGGCATTTTATTTGCACACTCCAGTGGAGTGGACACCAAAGGGGCTTTCTAATGCTTCATGGACTGCTAATTTCCTCTGTGACCTCTTTTGTTGGGGCCTGACCCCAGCCAGAGGCTCTGCGCCATGAAAGCCAGCGCCTGACACAGACCCGGAGCGAGGGGTGACAATGAGGCCTCTATCAGCTTTAATCAGGCTCCAGTTGTGCCTTAAGAACAGGGGGAATTTATGTGGTGCTCAGAAACCCTGGGTGGCATGATTCAGGAGCCCCCAGAGCCTCTCACAGAGGCCAAGGCAGCGAAAGGATTCGTCAGGCCAGAGAAGGGGGGTCGGGCAGGGGCCCTTTGTCCCAGGGGCCTCTTTAGAAGGCCAGGCCTGCCCTGAATGGCCGCCTGCTTGGCCTGGCCCATGGGTATCACAGGCCTCTGGGTATTTAGGGAGGCAGCCTCCCGCTTGGCCCGCCAGCCTATTCATGGCCAGCCTAATTAGTTTTTGTCTGTGTTCTCCCCCTCCTGCAGACTGCGATTCCTACTGCAAGGCCTCCAAAGGGAAGCTGAAGATTAACATGAAAAAGTACTGCAAGAAGGACTATGGTGAGTGAGAGCCCCCTTTTCTGGGACGAGGCGCATGGGGGTGGGGGGGCGCTGATCAGCAAGGGATGGAGTACAGTTGGCCTGAGGTGCGTGTTGGTCATGGCATCCTTGTGATCAGGGATCCCACCTCCCGGAATTTCTCATTTCTTTTACCTTGGCCCTCAGGGACAGACGGCAGGAAGGGCCACAGGGGCCTGGGTTCTCCCCCTCACCTTACAGAGGGGCACCCAGGCCAGTGAGGACTCCTGAGGCTGCAATTCCCAGGCTGGGCTCCAGCATTCACTCCGCTCTGTGGCTGCAGACTACTCACTTGCCCTCTCTGGTCTGCCACATCGTCATTAATAGAGTGGGCACTCACCTCAAGTCTGTGTTGCTCAAAGAAGTGTCCTCTGGGCATCAGAAAGGGAATAGGAACTCCTAGTGTGTTTAGAATGTTCTAGGCTGCAGCTGGCTGGGGGATCTGCATTGTAAATGGCTCCATCCCGTCCCTGACTCAGGGATCCCGCTGCCCTGCTCTGGAACCCAGGCCTCAGGGGATCCTAGCTGGGCCACCTGCTTCAGCTAGACTTAGAGGTTTTTTTGTAGTATGGACTGTGGTCAGGACCTCTCAGCATAACGAAATGAGCGGTGAGGCCCAAAGGAGTTTTGAGAACATCTGAAGCTTTCTTGTTTCACTGCCCGTGTGTGTGTGAGTTTGTGGGTGCACATGTACACCTCCCCCCCGCACTGAAGCCAGGGCAGGACCCCAGCTCTCTAGACCCCTCCTCACAGCCTGCCTGGCCTCCCACAGGAGGAAGCAAGTGCAAATGGCCTGTTTTATGTGTCAGTCAGAAGTTGCCAGGCTGTGGGCATCCAAGTTCACGGTCCCTCTGGGATCCACAGTAAATTCCCAGAAGCCCTTTTAAAATGCAGGCATCTCAGGGCAGCTAGAAACTTCCGACTCCCATAGGGAAATAAACCTGGACCTTGACAACAAACATGTGGTTGTTTAAAGATGAAGGAAACTGCTGTCTCCAAGCCACAAGGAGGGACCAGGTGGTTTTGAAGGAAGCCACAGGGTGTCCTCCCAGCCCTGGGTCTCCAGCGTCTGCTGAGGGGGCTGTGGGGCTGAGGACTTGGGGCTTTTGCAAGGGAACGGGGGCTGCTGGGGGCAGGATTATTTGCTTGTTTGGAGTTCACTCTTAAAGTAACTTTTGGCTAGTGAGGCTGGGAGAAAAGAGAGTTAGATGGTCTTTTTGAAAGGTGCTGGCCTGCAACTTCTGTTCTTCAAGTGAATAAAAGGAAAAATCAGCCTCAATACCCCAAATTGACCTTGTTTTCTACCCGAGTCTCTTAGACTCAGTCTGGTTTCGTTCTCCTTGGACTTTTTTTCCTCCAGTGAATTCTGCCTCCACCACCTCTGGTATTCCAGAAGGCGTCTTGCCCCACTCAGAGCTGTCCTGGCGCCTGCACGCCTCACAGGCAGATCCTCTCTACCTTTCCCACCTGACCCCCTTCCTCTGTAGGCTCAGGAGTCCAGGGGCTTCCCAGAGCCCTTCCCTTGCTGTGGCACCCCTGGGAGTGAGCATCACTCTTGGGGAGAAGCATGGGACCAGCCTCTGGGGTCCCCGTGGACCTCTGTTCCCTGCCTGTCCCCTAGCCCATTCGTTGGACTTGTTCTGGTTGTCAGAGTGAAGCAGGCACCAGGGCAGTGGGCTTCAGTTCCCTTGGGTCACAGATGGGATGTGGGCTTGCTCAGTCACAGCCAGGTGGTGGCCCTGCCTCCTCTGCGGTAATTTCCCCAGGACTTTTCCTTCCCTGTCAAGATCAGCCCCGGTACCCTACCTGGCACAAGGCCCAGAGAGGTAAGGAGGGGGCACATCAGCCTCATGGTGGCCCCCTCCTTGCCACCCAGGTGTCTTGCCCATGTCTGTTGCAGGATCAGACTTCAGAAGAAGCAGGTTGCAGGGGAGATGTGAGGTGCCACCACTAGGAGCTGATGAGGCCTGGCACTGTTGTGTCCCCCACTTTAATGTCCTAATCATGTCCCTAGCCTGCTGCGTCATACCACCTTCTCTCATTCTCCAGTATCCTTTGGTGGTGGTGTGTGTGTGTGTGGGGGGGTCTATATTAGTCTGCATTACGTTTCTGTAAGAAAATACATGAGACTGGGTGATTTATTTTAAAAAAGCAGTTTATTTTGGCTCACAGTTCTGGAAGTCCCAGAGCAAGGTACTAGCACCCATTCAGCTTCTAGTGAGGGTCTCGTGCTGTGTCAGCTCCTGATAGGAAGTGGGCTTGTGCAACAGAAAGGAGAGGATGAAGGAGCAGATGGATAGTTATAAAACCCTATCTCAAGGTCGCTGATCCACTCTTTTGAGAACTACATTAGTCCCTTCATGAGGGTGGAGCCCTCATGACCCAAAATACCTCTGAAAGGCCCCTCATCTCTCAGTGCTCTTATACCAGAGACCAAGCCTCAGCACAAGTTTTGGTGGGGACAAACCACATTCAAACCATAGCAGGAAGCTTCTGGTTCCAGGACTGTCCCTGCCACATAGGGCCATCTAAAAGTTGAGTCTCCCCACCCCAGTTTAGTGTCCAAAGTGTCTGGCAGGGGAGCATGGCTTGGGAAGGAAGGAGTAAGTGGCATCCATGGAGGCTGCATGGGCCACCTGGCAGCAGTGTAGACCTCGCTGTAAGGCTGGGGGCGAGGGCTCTGCTGTGCCGTGTGGAGAATCTTCCATGCATCCTTGGTTGGGACCCTGGATCCTTGCATGAGAAGTGTTTGGGGTGTATCCATCCCAACCCTAGGGAAGATGTAAGCCATGCCAGGGAAAAATGGACAGGAGGGAGCTGGCCTGGGGATCAGAGAGGAGGTGAGGCCAGGCAGGGGTACCCAGCTCCCTGGATGCAGAATCTCTTCTTGCTCTCTGAGTGACACCTCACAGGGGGCCAATTAGGAAACACATTTCCTTTCATCCAGGTACTTAGATATTCCAGAAGCCTCTAATTAGAACCTCAGGTTTGCCACCCCTATTTTGCCAAGAGTGAGGCCCAGCCCAGGTGCCCACAGGCCCTGACCTCTTCTTCCTCCAGACCTGCTCAGGAGAGGCTTGATGAGCTACCAGTAGAGAACACTGGTTTAGGGCTCTGCCTGACCCTGTGCAGTGGCCAGTGGCCAGAAGACTGCCGGTTGAGGAGGCTGATGGGAAAAGACCTGGGCTGGCTGGTCCAGTGTTTTCTGGCTCTGCCCCATACTCTACTCCCATACATGTCTTTCTGTTGTTATGACAAAATAGTTGAGAATAGCAACTTAAAGGAGGTAACGTTACTGGGTTCTAGGGTGCTGGAGTCTCCTTCTGGAGGTTTTTTTCTAGGTTCTTGCTGTCCTGAACAAAGAATTGGACAAAATAAGTGCAAAAGTAATGAGGTTCTACATTTATTAAAAGTAGGAAAAGAATGTGCTTAGCACAATGAGTGTGGGCCAGTTAAAAGCAGGAAATGGGGTACACATTGAGAGCGAACCACTGTGGGAGAGGGAGTACAGTGGCCAAGAGCTCAATGGCAGCTGTCTTTTGTATCTCCCACCCCTCAGGCTGAGGTCAGATCTAGGTTGTCCTATCAGAAGCCTGCTTGAGTTCTCTTGAGAACAATTGAAGACAGCTCTCTCTGATTGGTTCCAAGTGCAAGGCTTTGGGAAATGCTCTGTGCCTGTTTCCTGGAGCTCAGTGATTGACAGGTCATGCTCACTTCCCCAGCGAGTTTGTCATGCCCTGATCTCTTGCCTTAGTGAGGTTTATTTCGGCTCACAGTTTCACATGGTCAGCTGGCTCCATTGTTTTAGGCCTTTGTTGTAATGAGGCAACATCTTGGTGGAAGGGTGTGGTGGAGGAAGACTGCTTACCTCATGGCAGCTTGGAAGCAGAGAGAGGGAAAGAGCCTGTGCTGGAAGACTTCCTCCTCCTTCCCCTTTTGTTGCACCTAGAACCCCAGCCTATTAGATGATGCCACCCACATTCAGGATGGGTCTCCGCCTCGGTTTTCTGTCAACATGCTGATTGTCTCACCTCCACAGACACACCCAGAAGTGTACTTTAATTTCCCAGGTGGTTCTCAATCCAATCAAGTCGACAGTCAAGATTAACTCTCACAGGCTTGAGTCTGGAGACATAGATTCCTAATTTGTTGTGTGACTTTGGACAGGGTCCTTTTCCAGTCTGGCCATCAGTTTCCTCATGTGTTAGATGAGGTACAGTCAAGGGGACCTGATATTGTTCTGAGACAGGGACCACATCTCCTGCCAAGCCAGGCACCATTTCTAAGGGACAGGAGCCCATGATGACACTGTTATCGCACCTGTCCCCACCTCTCCTGGGCTGCCGCAGTCCCCTGTTGCTCTTATGGAGTGGAGCTCACCTTACAAATGCTTGAAAAAGAGCCAAGGTGGGTGTGATAATGCAGGCCTGTGATCCCAGCAGTTTGTGAGGCTGAAGCAGGAGGATCACAAGTTGAAGCCCAACCTGGGCAATTTAGTGACTTAGCAAGACCCTGTCTCAAAATATAAATAAATAAATAAATAAATAAATAAATAAATAAATAAACAAACTGCTGGAGAAGTAGCTTAATGCAGAGACCTGGGTTCAATCCCTAGTACTGTCCAAAAAAAAAAAAGTCAAGGAGAAGGGTAAATGTGGAGCCCTTGTTCATAGAAGACAGGTTTTATTCTTTCCAAGTATCTTAGCAACTCCTGCCAACTTTTCAGGACAACCTCGCCTTGGAGGGGCCCTTTCTTGGCGGGATGCTCTAAGTCAGTGTTTGGGTGTGTATGAGTGTGTAAGTGTGCACATTCGCCATCAAGCATACCTCCCACTGGGTGGGCTCAGACAGCAGAGCGAATCCTGGCTGAGTTACCTGCCCTGTCACACATTCGCATGGAGGCCCTGGCTCCAGAGCCCTCCCCTGAGGCCTAGCTTTGACAAGCTCCTTCTCATCTGTCTGCTCTCCTTTCCTGTCTTCCT